AGGCCTCTTTGTGTGCGCTCTCTGTGTGTTGATGTACGCCATGTTCTGTACAGTCCTGCACTCCTTTCATGTACATCACACCTCCAGTGATCTATAGAGAAAGTCCAGTGATCCACGGCCACATAATGAAAAATTCCCAGAACTGGGGGATGTCCCATTTCACACATGAGTAGCCAAGCAGCTTCATGGAGCTAATTTTTACAGTTTTCCATAGGATATAATGGGATGGTTGTAATGTATGTAAACAGGCATTGTTTACTTTCAATGAGAAATGTTAATTATTAAAACCATGGAATAACCAGATTGCCTTTTAGATATCCCACTCTCCTGTGACATCCGGTCTCTAAAAATGTTTCCAGCCATTATCTTTATTGGTCTTTTTGCCTTCGGCTCCCATTTACTTCACACTGTCCTGCTCTGTTCACTTTGCAGCATGACTAGAAAGTGTAATATGGCAGAGACAAGAGATAATCAGAGTCGAACAGAGGACAACAAGGAGAACATAGCAGCGAAACAGAAGCGCAATAAGTAGAAAGCAGAAAGAACTCATAGTCAGTGATTGGAAGTGACTCAGCTAACTGGTAAGAACACATACAATGTCAAACAATTAAAAGAGGCACTCCACCCAAGTTGTGCTGATTTACTGTACCATCCACGGAGGGTGTGACCATATGATGCTATTAAGTGTGTTTGACCTCGACTGAAAGTCAGTATATCTCCGCTTTTGTTTTATCTAAACCATATTTAACAATCTCTTAAAAGTCCCCCAACTAGCAAAGACTTTGACATCTAATCTTTTTTTCAATCAGTAAGAATATCCATGTAAAGTTGTCGATTCCAATTTATAACCAGTAATTGTAGCCATTTATTCGATTTATTTTAAAGCATTTGATCCATAAATCAAGTTCTTGCTACTGTTTCTTTAATATGTAACAATGATGGCATTGAACAAACTTTATTCATGATTTCTAAACCAACTGCTGACATATTTTGACAACTACTAAAAATGCATTAACGTCTCTTTTTCACCCGATGTTAGTAGTAAGCCAGGTCACTTTATAAGGTCTGCAATTTTTTTTCGAAACAAATCAAAAGCTCATCAAATATCAATTCATGTCAATAAAAAAATAAGAACATGTGCATTTTAAACTTCAGAGGAACATGCTCCAGCAAAAACAGAAAATACCCATTTGACTTTTAACTTTATAGAGAAGTGCTTGTATTGTCCTGATGAGGATTTTAATGCATTATGATTTACACACATTTAATCTGCAGGAGGTGCAATGCAAAAAGGGAAAACAATCATAAAAACACAAAGAAGAATGAAGCCATACAAATAATGGAGGCAAAACACGTGAATGTAAACAATGCGGGTTTAAATATATTCAAAAAGTGGCGTTGCAAATGTATATGTTGCAAATATTTACTGAGAGGAAATTAACTTGAGACATGGGATAGTGCTAGACACTAAATGTAAACAGAACGATGTTTGTCTAGAAGTCAACTCCACAGAGTACACGTAAATATTTTCAAGCTTAAAATAAAAAAGACCAAACAGCCTCTCCTCGCCGCAAAGCCCAAACCAGAATACTCTTTGATTAGCATGTTTAGCTCAGGTGCTAGCAGTTGTATATAGAGATACAGTAGAGACAAAAAGCAGCAACACAGTCATTTGTTAGTTTATAATCCCATTATTGTGGAGTTTTTCTTCTCTTCTTCGAGTTTGGAGTTAATCATTGTGTGAAAGCCCTTAGAGACTCGGTTTGTGATGTTAGTTAAAGCAGATGAAAAGGCTTTGACTTGCAGATCATTCAGCCTTTTTTCTGTCCTCTCCTCTCTCAACGATACACTGACCTCCCTGCTCTTTGTTGGATCACAAATCCCTGAACACATTTGTTTGTTCATGAACCTTCCTGCGTTATTTTGCATCCACATGAGTCACACATGCAAATCAACATTTCCTTGGTTTTGTTTTTGTCCCGAGGCTCAGATGGGCAGATGAACTCAAACAGCCCCAGATACTGTATCTATCTAAAAACCTCCCCGTAAAGTAGGTCTGCTACTAATCATCATTGAAATAACTATTATGGCATCATGTATTAAGTGCCTGCTGCGCAGTGAAATGTGCAAACAACAGGTCATATTACCAAACTAATCCAGGGATTGCCAGAACATTTTAAATCATAATTGTAACCCATTCAAAATAGTATTCATATACTATGTTACCTTTAGCATTACTTTAAGCACGTCGTACCATGAACACAGCTTAATCATTTTCTTGATAAATCTACTTTAAATAATACATCTATTTTATTATTGATTAAAGGGGCCCTATTATGCAAATGTTCAGATTCATACTTGTATGTTGTGTCTCTACTGTGACATGTTTCCATGCTTTAATGTTCAAAAAGCTCTTTATAGCCCAGTCTGCTCTGATTGGTCAACCGCGTAGAGATGTCCCACCCCTTAGCCCAGTGGTTCTCAAACTTTTTTCACTCATGTACCCCCTTTGAAAAGAAATTCAGCCAAGTACCCCCTGATCAGCGCAAAAACTATTTGTTAAGGAAAAAAAGCCTATATAAAGAGGTACAGTGCAGCGCTGCACCATCAGTGTCTGATTTATTAAAACAACAACATTGTAACTGAGAAGCACTTAAATGCTACACTTCAGATGTTTACAATCCATCACTAAATTCATGGCAAACCAATTTTAACATCATGCAATAACACTGAGACGACATTAGTTGCATTGAACTGATCTTTTTAATAAGTTGTACAATTTAGTGAGAAACATGGGCTTGTGCTTCACTGAGGATCTTTGTCATTCTGACAGGGAGGCAAACTGCAGTTATTACACTTCGCGTTTTGAAATATGTGTAACTCTGTTAATATAAAACCCACACTGCTAAAACTTTGTTACTTTTCCTAAAATTGGTATATTTATTTATTTTGGGGCGTGGGGAATGAAGAGAAAAAATATAGTAGCATTTTATGAGCATGGGATTTTGACCCCTCATATAAACATATGTATAATGCTGCGCTATACTTTGCGGCCACACGCCGTTGCCAAGCAACGCTTATTGTTTAGGTGTCCTTTGATAAGCAGGCAGTCATATAATTAACTAGAACTAGCTAGATCTGATAGATTTGGACATAGACGCGAGTGAAGTCAGAGTTAGACCTAACACACTTAGCTAGTTTATCTACTCTGGAACTAGCTAAACTAGTTATAAATATATTTATTTTTTACTGTCGGTCACTTATTAGAGGTTCAGCGAGCTGCACGAGACTGACGGGCTGTCAGGAGAGGGAGAGGAAAAGAGAGCACCCCGTTTATTTTTCCCATTTTATTATCCAGAATTACTGTAAACCTTTGAATTAAGTAGTTAAACTACTATTAGTAGTTTGTGTAAATGCATGTGTGTATGAATTATACGTTTTTGTTGTTGTATGATTTTAGTAGAATAAATTTAAAAACAAATTTAAATGTTTTTTTTTCATTAACATAAAATAAATCTCACGTACCCCCTGCAGTACTCCAACGTACCCCTAGGGGTCCGCGTACCCCTAGGGGTCCGCGTACCCCCATTTGAGAACCACTGCCTTAGCCTATCACGTACACTGTGTTGGAGCGCAAGCCAATAGAAGCACAAGTGTTACATAGTGAGGTCACTATGTTGCAAAGGAGTCCAATGGAGGTGTTTCCGGCAGGGGGGGAGTGTGAGGGATTTTAGCCTTTGCAGACCATTTACAAAAATCTATATCACACACTACAGGAAAGGGAAAACCCCAAAAGACAGAATAGGGCCCCTTTAATCAATATATTTTTTGCAAACATTCAGAAAACTTTGAAAAGTTCTCAAAGGCATCAAGATATCCAGTTTACACAGAAGAGTAAATAAAAATAGAAAAATATCCACATTCGAACCAAGGAATTAACTGAATATTGCTTTCCCTGCAGTTGGTATTTCTTACTGCTGTGCAGCTATTGATACATTTCCTTGAGGCTTGTTGCGTGGTTATGAAATCCATTCACCAACACATTTTAATATGGTGAAATGTAAAAGAAATATGTTGCAAAAAAGACCCCTACCGGACACAACTCCAACTTCTTCTCATTCAAAGCTTTCCTCTTGGTTGTTTTTCTCACTTTCACCTGTTGCACTTCCATCTACTTTTTTCCACTGCTCTTTTAATAAAAATCCTCCGTGAATGGGACTGCAGATCTATGCAAATCACAGTATGATTTATGTTACTGGTTAACAACAGCAGCTGTGTGTCTTCATATTTGACTATTAAATGTGTCAGCGTCACGGTTGTATCTGTTACACTCCTCTCACTCAGTCAGATTTCCTGTGTGGATCACGTTGTTACTTACTGTTCAAATAAAAATAGAATCAGTAAATCACCTCTGAATTACTCAAACTCTGTACATTAGGTTGTGGGTTTCGCTCTCTTTTTGTCATACATTTCTAGCAGTTCTACCTGGTAACATGTCGTTAAATTAACAATTTATTTAGAATTTATCTTTTGAATAGCCGAAACTGATCTGCCTTTTCCTTTGTTTTACTGTTATGCAAGTGTGTTTATTTTTGCGTTTTCTATGTTTGTTCATTATATAATCTTTTCAGCCATCACTTTTTAATTCCTTTTCAAATGAAATGTCTTCATAAAGCCATTTCCTGTACAATCACATCAATAGAACACAGTCTGAATGTATTGTGCCAGTGCACATTTTAACTAAATAATTGGATCAATCATTAAATACAGTATGTGGTGTTGCTGTGTGATGTAGGCCTGACATTATACAGTAATATAGATCATAAATATGTAGCTTTTCTTAGGAATAATATAAATGTTCCTTTATTTAATTCCTCCACTATAAAACCTTGCAACACATGCTGGTGGTTGAAGGAACGGCGCACAAATGCATGATTTATTTTTGACACATTTTGATTAAACAATGTCTTTATATTAAAGTTGTCTCTGTGTCTCTGCAGAAAAGGACTACGGCAGCCTCTGTGAGCGGCAGCCTATCGGACGCTTTTTGTTCCGGCTGTTCTGCGAGACCCGACCTGAACTGAGGCGCTGCGTCAAGTTCCTGGATGCTGTGGTAAGAAGTCTCTCTGTGTGTTTGTCTTATTCCTGTTTGTGTTGGAGAGTTTAAGAGATTTGTCTCAAATGCCCTTTTCCATGACTACTAGTGTGGATAAACAAAAGGGATGAAGCTTGTGTGTGTGTGTGTGCATGTGTGTGGGAGAAAGGGGGAGAAAGGGGGTCTCAAGGACTTGTGTTTCTTTCTTCCTTGAAACGCTCCTCAATTCCTGTTAAGGAATGGAGGGGGGGATGTGAATGTGTTCTCCTATTCTGCTCAAACAAAAAACATGTTAAATGAAGATGAGGGTAAGGGGCGAATAAACAATGGCACATGACAAGTTTCATGAATTAAAAAGTTAAAAAAACACACAAAACAAGGTAGAAAAACATCCTTAAGGTCAACCCTTTTCATTGTTCATCTGCAGTACTGGCGTCGTTAAGATTTGAATACTAGTACATACTAGACATATTATTAATGAATATCCAAATAATATAATTATAACGCAGCAAACCTCCTTATGGTTCAAAATAGTTTCCTAAATGAAAAAGGTCAGCAAGAAATTAATATAAAAAATATTCACAAGGATTCGTATTTTTAATTGGAGATTTCTCACTCACAAATGAACTCTCTTATCAGTGTTTATTTTAAACATGACTGATCTGTTGATCATAAATCTTCCTATGAAAGCACGTTCTGTAGATTCTGGAGATCCAGATAATTAGAACACTTTTTTTTTTTAAATTAAAAGCTTTTACAATCAATTTAAGTAATCTCTCAATGTGTTGGAGGCAGACAGATATGTAAAATACACACACATAAAATGCTATCTATTTGCATGGGTAGATACCTTTCCATGCAGGTGAGTACCGAAATATGTTTGTTTGGGAATTGGGTGAACTGACCCTTTAAAGCACTGTTAGCTGTTGAGCTGGTTCTCATGTAGGAAGTCTAATTATCCTTAAACACACTTTGTTTGGAGTGAGGAGGAGGAGGAGGAGGAGGAGGAGGAGGAGGAGGAGGAGGAGGAGGAGGAGGAGGAGGAGGAGGAGGAGGAGGAGGAGGAAGTTTAATATCTGTTTAATGAAATACAGGAACTCTTGACTTCTGGAGAGAAAACTGCATCACTGTGTCAACCTCTCTTACACACACACAACACACACACACACACACACACACACACACACACACACACACACACACACACACACACACACACACACACACAAACACACACACTTGACCTCCTCTGTCGCTCTGTTCACTTGGGGAATGTTTCAGTCACACTCGTGTGTGTGTGTGTGTGTGTGTGTGTGTGTGTGTGTGTGTGTGTGTGTGTGTGTGTGTGTGTATCTGTGTGTGTGTGTGTGTGTGTGTGTGTGTGTTGTGTGTGTGTGTGTGTGTGTGTGTGTGTGTGTGTGTGTGTGGTGTGTGTGTGTGTGTGTGTGTGTGTGTGTGTGTGTGTGTGTGTGTGTGTGTGTGTGTGTGTGTGGTCCAATTTATTCTTTTTGTATGTGCAGATGATAAATAATGTCTTGGTTTCCTCGTTCACTCTTATGGGCAGACTCAAGGTAGTTGTACTTATTTTTGAATGTTTATCCTTCTGCTAATTTGTACTGCTATTCCACCAACAAGCCTAACTGAGTTACTTTGAGGAACCAGCTGCAATATTAACGTGATGAACGCTTTATTATTGTTCAAAGAAATTGACATTCTTCATAATGAGAACTTTCTCATTGGACACAGTAAATGCCCTGATGATGGAGCTAGAGGGAAAGAGCAGAAAATCAATTAATTTATTGAAATTCACCTTGAAATGTGAACTTCATGGTGGCTTTGGGGAAAGGTCAGAGGATGAGCAAAATTCTTAGGATACATTTTCTGGGAACCATAAATATCTGTACCAAGTTTTGCACCATCCTGCAGATGTACTTTACTGAATAAGACCTTGACCTGCAGGTGGTCTTACGCAACATTTCATGGGACTGTAAATACCATTAGGCTCTGGGGTCTGAAAACCCCTGTTTTCTACCAGATGTTTTTTGGAAAAACACGCATTTTGAGGATAGAAAGCACTTCATGTCCTTCTGGAAAGGTTTTTGGGAGGTTTCTGTTAATCCAAGCAGAAGGTAGTCCTTCCTGAAGCCACTAATTAAACAACTGTTTCTGCAGTAGGGGCATTTTAAATCATTTACATTTAAAGAAAAAAGTGATTTCTATTAATGATGGATTCGAAAATAGCAGGTTTTGCAGGTTGTCCGTGTGATTGTGGGGATTATTTCGGACTGATAAGTGGCACATAGTGTTTTAACTCCACCTTTCTAGTATCGGCTTTGCTCGCTTGGGATCTCAGCCTGAGGTGAAAAATTCCAAGTGCCAGGTACTATTATTTATAAGTATTGCTAATAAAAAGAAGGAAAAAAAGCATGGGGACTGTGTTGAGCCAAGCCATAACATGCAGAGACTGTGGCTCTGGGCTTTTTTCAAATACCTTATTAAAGAAACACGTTAAAGCGCTGAAGAAAACGTGCTAGCCTAGCAGCATTAATGCTACAAACAACCCATAACCAGGGCTGCACATAACTGGTGCGCATGCGCACCCCCCGCCAAAAAAGGAGCACCGGATCATTTGAAAAAAGCGCATTTGTGCACCAACATTGAGAGAGAGAGAGAGAGAGAGAGAGAGAGATATTTGCGAGTTGCATAAGAACTGGTAAGATAGCAGGGTTTCCCACACATAGACTTTACTTGGGCGGGTCGCCCAGGTATATTAACGGCCGCCAAAGTATAATTCGCGAGCCATTTAGGTTTAAACCGTCCGCGAGCATGACGGCATCTGCAATCCTTCGCTCTACCCCTCGCTATCGCGTGAAGGGTCTACTTTATGCGCTCCACACAGTAACCCTGCTGCGAGGCATACAGTGAACAGCGAACAGTTCATGAGCGTGCTCACTAGCGCACCCCCCCCCATTCATAAAGTCAAGTAACCCTCAAAAGGTCCGGTTTAGTTCATTTTAAGGATGCACACCAAGCAACATCTCCAGGACAGGTGCTCCTTTGAGAACCAGGGCAACAAAGTTATGTGCACCCCTGCCCATAACGCAATACTCTCTGTAGGAGAATACATAACATTGGTTCAGCTTTCTCTGAACACATGCATTCCTACTTGGTCATACATTAAAGGTCCCCTATTATACTGTTTTTCATCAATATATTATAGGTCTCAGGTATATACAAAACATGTCTCTGAAGTGTTTGGCTCCAAATACCAAACAGATCATGCATTGTAGCATTACCCATAATCCTCTCTGTTTCAGTCTGTTACTTTAGATGAAAATAAGGAGCCCCTCCCCACGCCCCTCTGAGAGATATTTGGTTAAAAAGAACACAATGGTGGTCTAGGAGGAGATTCAGGTGATAAGGGGGGGGGGGGTTACCTTGGTTGGTGATTGGCTAATGGTTACACAAGCCCAAAAAATCGTTATGACATCATAAAGTGGCCTAAATCTGATCAGCTCATTTTCAGACAGGTTTTTATGAATGGATCAGGACAAAAAGTGAGCGAATCTTTTTTCCTGAAACTTTCAGAATCTCTTTACACAGAGGGGACACATGTTATAAAAGACATAAAAAAGTGGATTTTGCATAGAATGTGACCTTTAAATCCTGAAACATAATATTGTCTTATATTATGACAGAAAACACCAAAGCTTGATAATCTCTGCTAGCAAAGTCAAAGCTTTGAATTCATTTTGAGCTTCAAATACTAATGAAACATTATTATTTATTGTTAAAACTCATATTATCATTCAAGTAGCTCAGATCAGACAAAATCCAGGTCAGCGTTCACTGGAGGTTGTCTTTGTGTCTCTGATGTGTGAAATGATGTCCCGTTGGTTCATCAGTCAATACAGTAATTGGTGGAGGTTGATGAAGACCTCGTCTATCCCTCAGTCTGTCAATGAAAATGGCAGCACGGCTCCAGTCTGACTGACCAGCTGATTTAGCTTTACAGCTTTCAGACATCCAGCGGATACGACTCACATACGGAGCAATTATGTTCTCTTTTACCCCTCGACCGCTTCCCGTCTCTTCCCTGAGAACGAGGACGAGATGGAGAGGGAAAATGAGATTTGAACCGTCTCCACTGTCACTTAGCATTAGTTTACAGGCTCTCGCTGTGAGAGGGCAGAGGAAGCACTTTGGAGTTTTCCAGTCAGGATCACTTTACTGCAACAAGTCATTCAGAGGGATGGGGGATGTGAGGGGGAGTAGATACAATCAGGCCATGTACTGCAGGGTGTGGAACAGGCCTCGCTATACTTCAATTAAACCTTAAATGGGGTTTTCTGAAGGAAAGGCCTTCATTGGAGACACAGGCAGCTGGAAGCACAGCTGAGCAATCATTCAATTGTATCCTTCATTGACTGTCAGGACATTATAATGATGGTACGATCTGATAGCACCATTATTGTAGAAAATGTCCAATAGTCTAATCGAATTAAAAATAAATAAATACTAACCGAGCATGTAATTGACTTTTTGTATGCCTCTGTGCGGCAACAGCTGATGCTCGAGGCATTATGTTTTTTTGGGTTGCATTTCCTTAATTTGGCACACACATCCAATCAGACTCGAAGATTAACTGAATAGATTTTGAGGGTCAAAGGTCAAGGTCACTCTGACCTCTCGTCTGTCCAATTTTTGTCAACTGAACTAAATCCTTAAAAGGGAATAGTTTTACATTTGGTTAAACTGATACGATTTTGGTGGACAAACGTCAAAGGTTTGTGACATCACGAAAACATGTTAAGCCTTATCCGAAGAAATCATACTTGTGACAATCTTTCAGAAATGTGTAACAATATAAAATGATAGATTGATACAATTTTGGACAGACATGTATGTTAACTGCAACTTCAATAATTCAAGTATCCCTACACCTTTTGTAAATCGATTTCAATCAGAATTCAGATTCCTATTGTTTTTAACCAATATCACCATGGGTACGTGTTGTTTATACATTTGGACGACATCCACAGGTGATGTAAAACTGCAGATCTGAGTAACTGTGGGGGGATTAGGAAGGAGCTGACGATCACCTCTAGCTTCTCCACTCATTTAGCCTCGCTGTTTTTCCCTTCAGGCGGAGTACGAGGTGACTCCAGATGAGAAGAGGAAGGAGTCCGGCCTGGAACTAGTCGACAAATACTTCAACCCAAAGGTAGATGTTGCTTTAAAGGACCTCTGTCAATGTCTATGTTTATCTGGGGATAGCCATTCAATACCAACTGTGTATACTTTAAATTATTGGTGTGACATGATAAATAGTCAGGACAAATTTAGATTGATTTCTAACTTTCTGGGCAGCCCTGGCTTCTATATACAAATCTGAAATTCTGCACACTTTGACATAACAGTTATATTTCCTTGATATTTAAACTAGAAAGTATTCTACAGCCTTATGCCGCGTTCACACCGGACGCGATGCGATGTTTGGGAGGCGGCGCGATTACATGTAAAGTCAATGCAGAGACGCGGACAGATGCAAATTCGCTCCGACGGCGAGCATAAAGCGGTGGACAAACAAACAAACTGAGACAACATAAGCCCCTTAGCAGAGTTTAAAAATGAACTGTAACTTGAACACCTTAAAGCAAAGTGACAATGCACAGTAATTCATATTATTGTAAGTGTCTGCACTCCCATGATTCCCCTTGTATTTCCTGATCAAGTTAGTCTATCTCTGCTTCAGTTTTTCACCTGCTTCTGTTTTTATCTGCGTGCATACAAGTCTGGGCCTGCAGAGTGACGAAGATAATAATCTATTCCGCACCATCGTAAACCCAGTTTATCCAGCTTTCCTCTGTGAGTGTGCTGTCAGGGGTTGAGTCACGGTGTTTACCTGGACTTAATGTGTTCTTTGCATTGCAGTCGGAGGACCACGTGCCTGAGGTGGAAGACGCCATGATGGCTCAGTGCAACGAGAGGCTGCAACAGGAGGCCTGCAAAGAGCTCTTCAAGGACTGTACCAAGTAAGATCACAGGGGGGGACTCATCTGGCTATTACGATTTGTCAGACGCAATGTTAGGTCAGAACTGTCAGGACCTTGGTCTCACTTCTGAAAATGTTACTGTTTTAATGACTTGATAACACACGATATACACTCATGAATTTTTTGACATACAAGGGGTTTAATATTCACCACCATTCAGTGTAAAGAAACATTTATTGAGCCATTAAATGAATAGATACAATGTGCAATTACATCACTTTATGTTGCCTTTAATGGTTCCACATGAGGGATCTTTGTAGCACTGATGATGCAGAATTACATCTCAGAAACTGTCAAATAAATGATTTATTATACGACTTGTGACACACAATAGCAACTCAGTGTAAACCTTTCTCGGTCTATACCAAATTACTTGTACTGCAAGTGTGAAAGTGACCACATTCAAATGTTAACTCAAACAAAAAGTTGCCTGTAAAAACAACGAAATAAGTTATGTGTATTAGACTGCCCTGACAAACACTGGTATATTTGGGAAAATGCATGAAATGAGATACAGGCAGTTGTAGGCAAAGTCTTACCGAATTGAATTGAACTGAATCGTGAAATAATACCAAGTTATATCCAGGTAATTTCCCATTAAATAAAACATGTATTCTCCTTTCTCTCTCTGTGAGAGGTTTCTGTTCTCATCGCATTAAAGAAATCCTGTGATCTAGCTACATTCATTCAAAGCACATCAAAACAAGTGCTGCTAACAGTCTGAACACTGACCTGAATGTCAGCTCTGTCTCTACTTCAGGTTTTTGGCAGAGTCTAAAAAAGGTTACAAAGTCCAAGTCATGAGTCGGAGTGGTGTTAAAAGTCAAAGCTCTTTTTGTTGTTTGATGAAGAGGTAGATTATGTCACTCGGGTGTGATATGAGTCCAATTCATGAGCGTCACATCTGTTGGCCTTTGTGTACAAGTATCCCAGCGTGCATTTTAGAAACATATCAAACAAACGTTATAAGCGTGAAAGAGTGTGATAGCCTGCGTTTTGCCTTAAATACGTTTAAAAAAGTCACAAACACAAGAAACAATGGTCACGACAGAGCATCTTCAGGCCTGTGCAATCTGTTCTTGCTTTGGATGTTTTTCTCTAGTATTTCTAAAATGAGGAAGTTCAGTTCGTAAAGGTTAAACGTACTGAGCATTAATGATAGTTGGAAAAAATTAAGCTGTGATGCAGAGAATCTTAAAATGACATTTAAATGACTAATGGAAATAAGAAGTTGCATTATATGAAGTAAACAAACATTCAATAGAGACATATAAACAGAAATGGAAAAGTTTTAATGCAATAGTTTATTGTTCATTCCATACACAACACATTGAGTAACGTCCTCTATCGGCTCTGTTCATGCTTGTTGTGAAGTGAAAGGCTGCACAGATGCCAGTTTGTTAAGTCAAGTACAAGACTCAGTATCAACACTACAAATCTAACCTTTGTCTATATATGTCTGCTAAAAAGGTAAGGGAGAAGTCTGGTGATGTTCTTAAGGTTTCATTATTTTAAAAGTCTCGCGTGAAATTCCACTTAAATATTGTAGTGTGATTTAATTTCTACATTGAATTGAAACCAATAATACCTCACATTTAATATACAACCCATATGCCATTTTAACTAAATATGTGTCCAATTTGAAACTGTTTTTTCAGGGTTGTGCACACTGTTGCAAAAATCCTGCCAGTTACACACAATGATTTTATTTCAATAATTTCCCAAATGCTTTCTCTTCTCACATTTTCAAATGTTCCTTGCTCCAAAGCTGACCCTTTTTCCGCGTGTTTTTTCCCCCAGATTGATCCACGACTACCTGAGCGTGGCTCCCTTCGCTGACTACCTCGACAGCATGTACTACAACAGGTTCCTCCAGTGGAAATGGCTTGAGAGGTAAAGTGTGTTATCAATGAGAGAAAACACCTTCTTAAACTGTTTCTGTTTCTTCCTAGCGTGTACATCAGCAAAATGCATTATTTCATTAACACACACACCACTTCAAATCTCACCTGGGCTCATTACGAAGCTCCGGTGTTCCTTCACTCCACCTCAGTACTAGTAACAACACGCTCAGCAGTGGTTGCCTCACTCCTTCCTTTCCAGTGTCCTCATTTCCTCTGAGTTACTGGGGTGAGAACTAATGCAATGCAGAGTGATATCAGCGTTACAAATTACAGGACAGTAGTTAGAAATTGCTCAAGACTTTCAGAGCAGTGGAGGTTACAGAATTCTACTGTTACAGAAAAAAACTCAGAAGGTTTGTTTAGTGTCATTATGGGTAGTGTGTTGCAGGAGGTACAGCAGGTAAATCTGTTCTCACAGTAAAGAACACTCATTTAGTTTCCAAAACTACGTCAGTGACGTTCCATTTCTATAAATATAAGTAAACAAATAAGCGATGGCAAGCTCCAAACAGTGTGCAAGATGCTCCAGTTTGTAGTCTGTCTGTGTGTTACTGTACTGATTAAATAAACTACAATAACAACAGTGCAGCTTTCTTGTCATTGGCCGATCAAGTGCATCCAACAAGAAACACACACTTGGAATATATTTTCAAATGGCTTCAACACAACGTCATAAGAGAATTTGTTTATGCTTGTGTCTTTACTCTAAAATAAGGCATTTTGTCTCACAGTAGGACTGCCAATTAAGCACGACATGTAATTGGATGATACTCCTGTAGCCAAAAAGTTGATCCAGCTTTATTGCTGGCTCAGGGGAAATACTGGGATCTGAACTCCTGATATTCAAATGTACTGATTCAGAACAGAATCACATAATTTGTTGGTGGAGGAATACATCTGTCATTATAATAATGGTTGTTATGAGTTTGTTTACAGACAGAGAACATTTGTCTCAAAGAACCCTGATGGTTCCCAGACTCCTCTTTAAATCCTCACTGATGCTGTAAACATGCTCTCTAGCCCTCAGTGCATGAGTGTTTAGTTGTGATGGTTAAACTGGGACTTTCTAAGGATCATCTGAAACAACCACGAGTCCCCAATCCCCTATCCATCCACATGGGATCCATTGGCGTGAATACAAAAGATAGCACCTGAATCAACAACAGATAAAGACCTTCTAAGAAACCCAAATAAATGTCAAGAAAGTGAAAGACAAAGCAAGGACTGAGACAGATGTTATGTCTGTGTGCCCTCCAGGAACAGTGTTGGCTTCTTTCATCATTATTTACTGCAGAATGAGGACTTCCAGCACCTCGAGCTGATGATATCAAATAAAACTCAAATGAATGTCTGACCTCTCAGCTTTCCAGGACTGTATAAGTTGGCATGGCAATGGGGAATTGTTGAGTTCTTCAAGTTTTTACAAACTTTATTAAAGGGACCCTATTAAGCTTTTTGAGTTCTCCCTTTCCTGTAGTGTGTTACTATAGGTTTTTGTGCATGTAAATGGTCTGCTAAGATTAACATCTTAAACAACATGGAGTTTGTAAATGTTCTCTATTCAGCAGGCAGTAGGCTATATGTATATGCAATAGCTGACTCTCCTTAAAGATGTCTCCTGTTGCTAGGTGAGTCCAAAACGTATTGTCTCCTAGCAACAGCAGGATCCACACCTGACACGCATATGCATAGTGCTTTTGTTTTACACACATGGACAGAAAGGATGCAAACCCAACTGAAAATATGCCCATTTCTTTATGCTAATCACTCTTCAGATAAGTGGCTTTACTTTCTGCCTCCTGTAACTGTAAACATTATTTAAAGAACTTGTTTGACATTTTGGAAAATATGAGTTATATATCATTGTCAGTGAAAATTGTAATATTAATGCAAAACTGGTAATTCCTGGTAATATTCAGATTTTCTTTTGACTGATATTGCAAAATCAGTCAAAACAGTCAAAAGTATATTTTATAAAATTGTTTCAGCCCTTAGTGCCACCACCCTCTGAACTGGAGCCGAGCTGATCCTGAATTGTATGAAGCAGGAATTTGTTCCACAGAGATAGCAATACAGGAAAATGAAATCTCATCCGACTTTCACCTGGATACAAGATATAAAATGTGCAAATTAGGCATTTATCTTCCTGCCTTTGGTCAGAGCACAACATCATGAAACAAATGATGAAACATGACTCCTAAGAGAATCTCTGTCCCAAGCTAACTGCTGCTGGTCAACAGAGAAACAGCACATTATTTCGTGTTTCATGACAAACACCTGTTTCTTTAATTCCAGTTATGAGTAAAACATTCCAATGCGTGTTTGGCTCGTAAGTATTGTACCGTAGAAGAACTTGGGTTCAAAACTAAGCTTAGTTGTTGAATTGAACTGACAAACTTCTGTTTAATATACATGAAGTCGTAAATAAACCCCCTATTTAGGTTTTAACCAATATGAGCAGAGAAAGAAGACCACTTTGTAAGAATGATGCAAGACTAGCTTAGGGATATCACTGAAGCTTCTTGCAGCTAGGAAATAAAACACAGCTTAAACACACATGCTGATAGTCTCTACACTATCAGCATGTGTTGACTGGCCAAATGAAGGGATTGAAATACCCACAGACTGATGGGCTGATGGCACAGGACTGGGTCATGTTGATTAGAGGCAGCTGCAACTTTTGTTACAACCACTGTTCACACTGAATTAATAGAACATTTTAGTTTTGCGTCCATTGACTATCACCCAGGGAATAACAGGTCAAAGCTAACATCCAATGAAAATTGATTTTGACAGATGTAAGTCAACATTACCTCTTCCATTCAATTCAATATTTTCCAAGGTGAGGTCACAGTTAGCTCCCGTGTTTTTGTTTTGTTTTTCAGGGTTTACTTACTATTGTTATTATTCTATGCAACAGTCATTTGGGTGGTAGAATGGTTGTCCACAAAACCAAGGTTCGATGGTTTGATACCCAGCCTCTGCAGTCCAAAAGTGGATGGGTGGCAGATTCCTAACACCAAATTGACCTCCAATAGCCAACAGTGTGTGAATGGGTGTGAATAGTTCTATTCTGACTTGTACTATATGTGAAAGCACTATGAATGATCATAAAGACTAGAATGTGGTTGTTTTAGATGTCGGCCATTGGGAAGTCTGAAAAACTGCATTTCGCACAGCAATACAATTACAATTTTAAAACATGCAAACACACTATGCAGTTAGAACACATTGTAGACGCAATGTTACTTACTGTAGTACGTGTTCTCTAGCAGAGACTTGAACTGTACTGCTCACCTCAAACGTCACGATTCATTATGCTGGCGTCTGTTTAAAAGACAACTCAGGAAGTCAGTGGGTCAATACAGGCCTGAATACAAGACTACACAAACCAATACCAATTACTGAAAAACTCAGTGTAAAAACAAGCAGGACATCTACCATCGCAGGGTTTATTAAGCATTAAATTACTCATTATCTTTTAATGAGTCCATTCAATTTACCTGCTTCAATAACCAAAGTGTCCAGGGACCGGGTCATTGGTGGTGCTCCTCATTAGCAGCTTCATTAATCCATACACTGATGACTAACTGCACACTCAAAAACTGTTTTTAAGATCACTGTTGAAACACTGAGCTTCAATAGCAGCTACCAGTCACACAAGGTCATTATTGTTTTGAATACACTTCACCAGCATTCAAATTTACATTCACCTTAAAACACGTATTTTCCCCATAACATCTATTTCAACGTCTGTCCCACAAACTTACTGACCTGAATATCCACACAATGAAAGCTTAAACAGTTGAATAGCTTCGTTATCACATTCACAGATGCATTCAAATAAAAAAATCAAGGGCCCTTTTCACCATAACTTCAAATAAACCCTAGACATTAATGATGCCCCAAGAAGGATCCACATGTAACAACTACTATGCATCTGCATCAGCAAAAGTGTTAATAACTTTATATTAATAACGTTATGTTACGTACTAACATGTGTTGCAGTCATTATTTATATGAGTTTCTGTTTGTGTCCAACAGGCAACCAGTTACGAAAAATACATTCCGACAGTACAGAGTTTTAGGGAAAGGAGGCTTTGGAGAGGTGAGTGCATTCAATTTACGACTTTAAAGAGGCCCTTTTATGCTGTTTGGGGTGTTGCCTTTCCTGTAGGTTTAAGTGCATGTAAATGGTCTGCAAAGGTTTGAATCCCAAAGTTCCCTCCAGACGGAGTTTCTCTCCCCCCCACCCCCCTCCCCGCCTAAAACGCCTCCATTGGATTCATTTTTGAACATTAAAGCATGGCAACATGTCACAGTAGACTCTACTGTGACATGTTCAGGTTCATAATTTTATTTTGTGCCTCTACTGAGTAGAGGCACATAAAGAGCACATAAGTTCATAAAATGATGAACCTGAACATTTGCATAATATGTCCTCTAAATAATTGTATTTTTTTTGTACGCAAAACACAAGGAAGAGGATATTATCTTATTGATAAGTACAAATAATAAATATATGAAAAAGGAAAGGGTAAGGGTTAGAGAGAGGCTGAGATGTATAAAGAAGTCAGTACATTCTTTACATGTATAATGAATGATTCAATGCAGGACAAATCAACTTTTACTCCTCAGTGAATTATGCTGGCTCCTTCTGGACGAGTCGGGAATAAGTTGCATCATCCCTCAGTTTTTTCCAAATTAGGCTCATTAAGGCGTTTCAGAGGTAAAGCTGTGTTAGAGCTGTATAGTTTCTAAGTAATGAGGGTGTATAGCTTTACTCTATTTATTTTAGGCTCTGGATTACCAGATTTGTTGATGATAATGTGATATACATATGGTTTTACTATATGAACCTTCTAACAAAGTAACAGAAGTTAAGCAATTAGGCTTTTTTGTATCCACACAAATATCTGATAATTGTTGCATATACATAAGTAGACATTTAACTCAAATAACTAGTTATAGTAAAATGTTAGTATTTTCCCTTCTACAAATCCGGTTGCTAAACTGCATCTATGAACAAAATATGTAATGTAATATTATTATTGTTATTACAAAATAACAGTTTGGTACTGAACCTCTTAGATGCACTAAGAGGTTCAGTACCAAACTGTTATTTTGTAACTCTTGCAACAAGTCTTCCAACTTAATGGAAGTGCAATGCTTATCTTCTTATCAAAAGTCAGTGTGTGCAATGAATACAGAGTATTATAAAAACATTGGTGGTTATTTTAAACCATGTTGGGTACAGAGAAAGAGGACAGCGTAGAAATGGATGAGAAAAAAAAGAAAGATAAGGGTTGAAGATAGTTTAGATTATATTGAAATAATGCAGTTAAAAGGCGCACATTTTTAACACCCTGAGGTGCCATCCTGTGTTACCTTATGATCTGATCATTTACAATCACAGTCTTGTTTGGGGTTAGAAATGAGAAGTCACAAGATGGGCTTGTTTTTATTAAGAGGGTGTATTGTTTATTTTGTGGCTGCAGCTTTTTATACGTATACATGGAAATAAGAGTTGTCAACTTTTTCCTCATTTCTACGCTGCAGGTGTGTGCGTGTCAGGTACGGGCCACGGGGAAAATGTACGCTTGTAAGAAACTGGAGAAAAAGAGAATAAAGAAAAGGAAAGGAGAGTCCATGGCGCTCAATGAGAAACAGATCCTGGAGAAAATCAACAGCAGATTTGTAGTAAGCATCGCATTTTATTCATACCTTTTTGTACCTCCTTTTGTCACTTGAATTGCATTTATGGTTTGACCCTAATTGAATTTCTTGTGTTTTGTTTCAATTTGTGATCTGTGCCATGTTATAAAAGCACTTTGAACTGCATCTCCTGTATTAAAAGTGCTATACAAATTCAGTTTATTTGTAATATTGTTATCATTAACAGTATGTCGACCAACATTTTTTTAAATCACTGTCCACAGTTTTTTAATCTTAAACAGATAATGTTGTAGTCTGTCCCTTGGACATGTACAGGCAAGTCACCTCCAAACTTGTTGGTTCCTACTTAAAAGTGTGATTCAGTAATTTCCTACAACAGATTGCCACCGTAGTTTTTAGAATTTCTTTACACAGTGAGTAAGGAAAAGAGCATTTGTCGGGGACTATTTTCAGTGGTGGATTAATATACATTTGACGCTCTAGTGATATTTTAGTTTTCTCAAAAGGAGACAACTGAAACCTATTCCTCCTGAGTGACTCTCTGTGTGTCAATGGGACGTGATGTCTGCAACATTAACAACTGCAGTAATTCAAAGACAACCTGGTCGTTTGTCCCGTCTCTGGTCGGGTTTGATTCTCTGCCAGCAACCCTTGTTCAGATTTTTTTTATTTGGACTCAGTTGACTGGTCCGGGCTCCCGGGCCGCGGAGTCCCTCATGGCTCCAAAGCAAAAACACAAAAACAACAGACTTCATTAAAGAATTTATTTTTAAGAGGTTTTGGCAGCAGGTGACATTTTTAGTTGTTGGGACGTAAACATAATGGTGATGTCAGCTTCCTAAACATCCTACAGTTAAGGGAAAATACTCCAGGACATATTTTAGATAGATTTAGTAAATGTTACTTTAATGCACTATAATTATGTAAGGCCTCAGTTATTGACTGTTGATAATGAACCTAAAATAGAATTGTCACCAATGTCTGCATAACTCTGATCTATTCAGAGCATTTTAGCCTCTTTTAGCTTATTATTTAGCTTTTATGGCTCTACTATATATATGATCTTTACATTTTTTCAACTGTTACACAACATCTCAAAATATTAAATAAACAACTATTACTATTTCTGAGAACCAGAAAAACGTCTGTAAAATGATTTTTCCAGAATCAGAATTCATGTATTCATCCAACAAAGGGGAAATGTACGTTGTGACAGAGAGTATAGATAGAGATGAAGAAAATAAAACAATATCATATTTTTTTTAAAGGCGTGCACATAGTATTTAAAATAACAATTCTTACAATTAATTCAAATTATTACAATTTATGTCTAAGCAACAGTCCAAAACAAAACAATATTCATGTTACTCTGAAGCTAGAATTATGGTAGGTTTAAAATGTTTGTGTAATTTATCAACACACAAGTATTTTCTTATGATTAAACTACCAGAACTATATGATTTGAAGATGTAAGCTCTCTAACATCTCAGCAGCATTTACACCTAAAACATTTCCCTGCATTAACACATCACCTTCCTCTGTCTGTTTCCAGGTCAGTTTAGCGTACGCTTACGAGACGAAGGACGCTCTGTGCCTGGTGCTGACCCTGATGAACGGGGGGGACCTGAAGTTCCACGTCTATCACATGGGCGACGCCGGCTTCGACGAGAAGAGAGCCGTGTTCTACTCTGCAGAGATCTGCTGCGGGCTGGAGGATCTGCACCGAGAACGCATCGTCTACAGGTCTCTGAGCCCCACGGACGATTGTCTCATGATCTGTCCTCTTTGGCCTCTTGTCTAACTGGCTCTTCTCTTCATTCTGTCACACAGAGACCTCAAACCAGAGAACATCCTGCTGGACGACCACGGTGAGTAGCATTATTAAGAAGCATATTTAAATCCTTGAAATCTCAGATAAAAATCTAAAAACAGACATCTGAATTTGGTTAGAACCAGTAGCGGAAAGTAACTAGGTACATTAACTTAAGTGCCGATTTTGTACTTTATACAGTACTTTTTTGTAGTCAAATACAATTATTAAGTGTTTCTACAGACATTCAATCAGAGGTCTAAAGGCAGTGTTGGAAGGTAATGAAGTTCATTTACCTAAATACTCTCCTTAAGTACAATTCTGAGGTTCTTGTACCCTATAGCATTTTCATTTTATGCTGCTTTATAATTTTACTCAACTACATATTGGAAGCCAATATTGAAATGTGTACTCCTCTACATTTACTTACAGGTCCTTTTTGTCCATGTGTGTGTGTCTTTTGGGCCTAATGTGTGCAGTTGTAACAGTAAACCAACACCAAAGAGAAAAACTGAATTTTCCCTCGAGATTAATAAAAGTTCATCTTAATCTTAGTTGCTTCATCATTTTAGATTATTGCTCTATAGAAAAGATGAATTTAATAATAAATAAACATTGGCATATATTTGTAGATTAAGATATCCAGCAGCAGTTTACAAAGTAATTTAAATTAGCACCACTAGCATAAGCATTATGAACACATTAATGCCTCCATCATCATAATCCAGGTTATATAGGTTAACATAGCTTGTGACATGCACTGTTACCTGTCTGTGGGATGCTTAGGATAAGATAAGATACAATAAGAACTCGATCTGGTGCATTTACTTGTGACCGAAGCTCAACAAAGCTCAATAGTCCTTTTTAAAGAAATACATTTGTGAGATTATTTCCGCTGTGAATCACCAGAGGGCACTCTGACTCCGGCAGAACTGATCCTGAAACCTGAAGCTTTCAGAGAAACTCTCCTCCCTCAGAGTCTCTGCTAAATATTCTCATTACATCCCACAGTTAGACCTGATCTAAAACCACATTAAAATATCAGAGACAAACAAGAATGCAATGTTCTAGTATGAGAACATAAAGATGATACGATAATACCTCATTGTCGGATCGAGTTGGTCATTTTTCTTACAATTACAATTACTATTATCCACCCACAAAACCAGACACCTGAGTTTGGTTAGAACAGAATCAATATGTTTCCAAGATTTGTTAAAAAGTATTACATTATGTATGATCAGGATAAAAGAAATGGAGCTTCAACAAAACTGCAAACCATTACAATGCTTAGTTATTAATAATAGAGCTAGGGTAAATAGATTCATCATTCAAGTGGATGTTGTTTTCCCTTAGTTTATGAAGACAAACTACTGCAACTCGAGTGTAAACATGGATCATTTGCTCAGATAATGCATATCCGCTGGTGGTTGTAACTTACATTCTGCACAAAAGGAAACAAACATAAAGGTCTTTATCACATGATCGTCTCAGGGTGATTCATGAATCACAAGATACAAATCAGCAACACGAAAGTCAACATTATACAGCCCAATAAGAGTTGCAGCGAGACGTGTATGAACCCAGCAATGTTTTGACTGACAAGAATAATAGAGCTAAAATAACCAAAAAGTCAGTAATTAAAACATAATTCTATTAATCATTTTCTGTTTGGTATCAGAATTAAATAATCCAGGTACAAGAAAACATAGAATCAATGTCCCTTTACTGTATATACACCAAACAGTCAAGTCAAGTGTATGTATATAGCACATTTAAAACAACCTCAGTGCTTTCCAATTTTAAAATAAGACAATCAGCAATCAATAAAATAATAAAGATATGATTGTACACTGGTAAAAATGTATCAAATGAAAATAAATACAATAAAAGCAACAATAACAGGTATGTGAAAAATGATGTTTCACTTTGGCTCATTTCTTGGATTCTTCTACTCTGACCTCTCTTTTATGTTGTTTAGGAAAGTCAGTGATTACCTTGCAAAAAATGAAAGCAGATAATTCTTTCATGTGGAAATTCAATGTTCCACTTACATTTTACAGAAAACAAAGACCCAGGTTATCATTTTCTGAATCAGATGTGTGTGTGTGTCTTCAGGCCACATCCGGATCTCAGACCTGGGTTTAGCGGTTCATGTTCCAGAAGGACAGAGCATCAAAGGACGGGTGGGAACCGTAGGATACATGTGTAAGTAACCTCCGACCTTTATCCAGTTCTACACGTCTTTAATAGAAACTGTTTCTCTACCTCTGCTTTATTTCGACCAATGACGAAATATGAGACATTGCTTTGTGATCAGCTTTAATATATTACTGCTTAGATTTATTATAATTTTTTTTCATTTTGTCTTTCAGTTTGATCTTTGTTCCTTCACCTATGTTATATGTAAATATAGGAATTTTTACAAAATATTACCTGAATATTTTCATTTTATACTACTACTCTACTACATTTTGGAAGCAAACATTTGTACTTATTACTCCACTACATTTATTTGACAGAATTATTATTATTATATTATTATTATTATAATATAAATGCAGAATACTAAGGGGAAAAAGTTTAAAATATGATTAATTGGTCAAGATGAAACAATCCAATTCATATTTAAGTAACTAAAACCATGAGTGGGTTACAAGTGGGAGTACTTTTACTCCTAATACTTAAAGTACATGTTACTTATCGTACTTAAATACTTGTATACGTATGTAAAAATGGGCTTTATATTCGGAACAAAGCGCATCTGTTAAATGAAATAAGATAAGATATACTTTATTGATCCAAAATTGGGAAATGTTTTCGTTACAGCAGCATGTTAAAACAAAGGTATTGCACATAATCTGGAAAACAAAAAGAGTAGAAAATAACCAAACAGAAAATATAGAATACAACCAAACTATATATATAGTTTATATAAGAAAATATAAATATATAAAAGTTGACCGTGAAAGATACAAATCTGACAATAAACAAAAGTAGGATATTAAGTTTGCAACGAATGGCATATCAATTAAATGTAAATGTATACATAAAAGGTAAACATAGAAAAACAGGAATAAACCTTATTTCAATACAGAACTTTTAGATTCTGTGTTTCTGTGTTCCAACAAATGCCTTCCTTCCCCCTCCAGCTCCGGAGGTGGTGAAGAACGAGCGCTACACGTTCAGCCCCGACTGGTGGGCGTTGGGCTGCCTGCTGTACGAGATGATCGAGGGCCAGTCTCCCTTCCAGCAGAGGAAGAAGAAGATCAAGAGGGAGGAAGTGGAGCGGCTAGTGAGGGAGGTGGAGGAGGAATATTCCAGCAAGTTCTCCGAGGACGCCAAGTCCCTGTGTCGAATGGTGGGTGGATGTTCCACTAGTCTCTAATGTGCTCTGGTCGGTTGCTACCATCTGCTCGCGCTCAATAAATTACCATATCCTAATGAACCTAGGAAAAGCTAGAACTGCAAAGAGGAGATGCTTGTTTACAACAATGTGACACTATTTTTTGGATACTGAGGATACATGTTTCTGTCACTTTGGCTGCATCCCTTTCCTCACAGCACCCTGTAAGGCTCCGTTACACAATGGTGGTACTGCATGTACTTCATCTCTAGTTGGCAAACAAGCTTCCTCACTCCCTTTGTGTGTTTTCATCACTTTAGATTGTGTTCACACTGATATTAGCACTGCACAAAAAGAAGTGCAGACTGCTCATTCTTGTCACCAGGACAAAGAGCTTCTTTAAAAAGACAGTTTCCGGTCAAAACAAGTTTTTCATGGCTCAAATCCTGCAGCAACAACAGAGATTGTCAACAAGCAACACACTTACTGTTGATGTCAAATCAACCAAAGAAATGTATTTGTTATCTTCATCTTTTGATAAGTATCTGAAATTCTATCCCCTCAATATCAGATTTTGACATGGTCGGGCAGAACAGGTTGGACCCAAGTGCAGGATGGACAATGGTTTTAACAGAAAAATACCGTAATTAAAGATTTGAAAACATAAAAAATCAAGGAACCAACAGACACCCACAGAAAACCAGAACTTAAATACATGCAGAACTATTCAAAAGGATAAGACACAGCTGGGGAGAGAAGGAAAAGCACAAGGCCATCAGGTGATCAAACAGGAGGGAAAACACAGGGACAGGAAGTAAAAACAGACATAACACAGAGTACACACTTTTCAGATTTCCCATCCAGGGTATCGGAAATGTAAATGTTCCCAGTCTTCTGTCACTGGACATTCCAGTATCATGACGACACTACAGTAGTTCACACCTTATTTGTTTTATTTGTTTGTCTAATTTGTAACTTCCTGTTGTTTTGTATTCTCTAGCTTCTGGCCAAAGAGCCCTCAGAGAGGCTGGGATGTGAGCAAGGGGGAGCCTCGGAGGTCAAAGCCCATCCCCTCTTCTGCTCCATCAACTTCAAACGCCTCGCTGCCGGCATGCTGCAGGCGCCATTCATTCCTGATGTGAGTCCACCGTATTTACTCAAGTTCACTGAGAAAGCTTTGTGCTACAAAACTGTCAATTTTAAGATGACTTATTCTTACTCAGAGAGTGACATGATAAAATAAAGAACTTTGATAACATATTATGTTTAAGTTTTATCTCTGAAGTACAAATATAGATCCAGGTAGTGTTAGCGCAGGTGTAGCTATTAGCGTTAGCAATGATAGCACAGTTTTAACGACTAAAATCAACAATAGGCCGGGATAACTAATTTAGATTAGATTAGATAAAACTTCATTAGATTAGATTTTGTTGATCCCAAATTGGAAAGTTGTTCTGTTGCAGCAGCATGCTAACAAAGCATTGCACTTATGTTAAAAATATAATCAGTAAATATATACATACGACTAGTAAACAGATACTTATCCATAGTGTTTCTATAGAATACACAATTTTAAATATACACAATGATAATTATATCACAATATATATTGATGGTAATCTATGTGTGACTAATAACGTAAATAACGCTATACAGTAGCTGCAAGAGTAACATTAATGATCAACATATCTAAATCTTCTTAATCAGTGAGAAAGCTAATTTGTCTCAAAATGTCCTTTTTAAATAGAGCGCTGGAAATTCAATCTTCTCTACAGCACAGGAAGTGGAATTAATGGATCTGATTAATACGCATGTCAGTGAGGCTCATTATGAGGAGCATCATTAACGTGCAAGGTGTCTGCCACAGCAAGGATTCCCCACAGTGAGCGCACTGTTGCACGTTTAATGTCGGGAGATTTGATAAACATTTATTATTCCCTGTAGGGAAATTCAGGTCTGATGCAGTAACAGCAATAAGAGTTAAACACAGGATAGGACAGATACACAAGGGCTATGAGAACAACAATAAGAGTAAACATGTAGGTAACAGGATGAATAACTGATTGAATTGTTTGTTTGTAGTTTCGTTTCTGTCATTGTATGTGTTTTGGTTTACCTAAGAAAAAGAAATAAAAATACATAGATTTGTGAATTTATTTTGTACCTTTTTTCTACTTTCTATTCCTCTTTGTTCATTCATTTTGCTTTTAATTGATTTGGTATTTGATTTCATGTTTACCCTGGAAAGGACCTTTTTAAATCCTACTTTGAAACCTGAAGTATGTGTGTGTATATATATGTGTGTGTGTGTGTGTGTGTGTGTGTTGTGTGTGTGTGTGTGTGTGTGTGTGTGTGTGTGTGTGTGTGTGTGTGTTGTGTGTGTGTGTGTGTGTGTGTGTGTGTGTGTGTGTGTGTGTGTACATGTGTATGTGTACATTTGTATATGTATGTATGTATAGAATTATGTGTATTTATATACATACACACATGGAAACCCACTTCCTAGGTTTGCAGTTCAAATGCTTTTAGTTGTGGTTCTTATAAACACCCTTCTTCAGTTAATCCTGGCATCTTAAATGTAAATGTGTTTTAAAAGTTATTCGTCCGTGTGTCTGCAGCCGCAGGCCATCTACTGTAAAGACGTGCTGGACATCGAGCAGTTCTCCACAGTGAAAGGAGTGGAGCTGGAGCCCAAAGACGCGTCCTTCTACAGCAAAGTGTCCACGGGCAGCGTGTCCATCCCCTGGCAGGACGAGGTGAGAGACATTCATAAACACAACCTCTGCAGTAACATCAGATTTTAATATCTTTGTGCTAACGGGACTTACAGTAGGGCAGGGCAATATCTCCATACGGTATCGCGATATTTGAAACTAGATAACGTCTTTGGATATGTTGATTAATCATAGGTTTTGTCTGTTTTTTTTAAAGGATTTTCCCAACAAAACTGATATTTATTTATCAAAAATATTATTGCAGGACATTTTTGTTCAAGCACCAATGGTCAACTGTTTAATACTCCTGTGAAATCGATTAAAGGTTGCAGGTTTTCATTTTTTTTAAAATAGGGATTTTTGCCACTCTTGTCCTGATCTCTCTTTGTTGTCAACTCTCAATCCAACAAACATCAAAGATTTAGAGAAGCTAAACTCGTATGCCATACGTTCAATTTAAAGATAATGAAGTGAAATCACATTATGATTACCTAGGTTTTTTGGCTGATATCCTACGCCGGACTCTTTGTTGTTGCTGAAGAACAAAATGTGTCCTTTGACTTCAACAGTTAAACCTTTTAACAAATGTCTTTTATATGTCTCTCTGTACACAAAGAATGAAGTTGAGTCTTTTCTCTGCAGATGATCGAGACAGAGTGCTTTATGGAGCTGAATGTTTTCCACCAGGACGGGACGGTTCCTCCAGACCTGGACTGGAGGGGACAGCCGTCTCCTCCGCCCAAACAGGGTCTGCTGCAGCGGCTCTTCGGCCGGCAGGTCAGTGCACCCCCTCCCTTCAAAACACCAGCATACTTTTACATATAAACATCTGTTTGCACCAGCTAGAGATCAGAGCGGTACTCAGAAAACATATATATATATAACCTCATATGAGAAGCTGCTTCGGTTGAAAAACGTCTCATTGTGACACTCCGCTCTCTGCCCCCCCCCTGCAGGACTGCTGTGGTAACTGCAGCGACAGCGATGAGGAGCCCACCAGGCTGTGACAAACACACACACACACACACACACACACACACACACACACACACACACACACACACACACACACAGGATCTAATTTGTTTACAACTTTTGCACATTTGTATTTTTAACATAGTACTATCTCTAAATGTCAGAATGTATATTTTCAACATAACCATAATGTTAAATGTTATTTAAAAAATAAAAAGTTGTGAAAAATTACTGGTTGACGCGTTCCAAACGAGGAGACGGGAACTTACGGAAGATGAACAGATATTTTTGTTTTTGTTTTTTGCTTTTGTTGATTTTTGGAAGGCTTTATTTTTTCACATCCACTTAAACACATGTCCATCTCACTGATCTGGAAGCTGCTGCTGGAGCAGATCCACTGAAACGCTTGCTGTAAAAGTGCCTTGCTGTAGGGCACTGTGGCAGACTAACGGAGGACTGAGCGTACTTTCCCCACTTTGTCCAGGGAATCAAACCTGTGACCTTCAGCTCATGAACTCTGACCACTTTTCTTCTTCCTTCCATTCTGCTGAAATAAACCTCACTGCTCTTTCTTCTATTTAATGTTTTAAAATGAACTTTGCTTAGTTTTTAAATGGAGATGCCAGGGCCAAGAAGTTGTCTCTATCTGCAGATATTTTTACATCAATAGTATTGTTGTTTTTCTTTGATTAAGGATTTCTTTACACTGTAACTTGCGTTAGTGCAGCTCCTCTTATTATTGTCAAGAGTGTGTTTTTCTTATAGATACAACAGTTGTTTGGTCCATTTTTACAGAAACTCTGAGACTTCAATTAATAATTGTCATGCTCTGGAAAATTAGGCTAACATTGGATTTTCACTAGGTCCATAAGTTTCAGTTTCTGGACTTCAGACAGTCCTTTCATTTAGTCAGTTGTTGATTTTCAGATACATTTGACTGACAGAGCTACTCATTTTAAACCCTTTTTTGGCAAAGAGTTCAGCACACAGTTTAATCTGTTGGAAGAACAACGTTTACATATTTGCATGTTGAGCTAACCTGCAAAACTTGTTATTCAAATAAGTCGATGTTCGATCAGAATCCTAGTATTTAGTTGCTACTTTCAGTAATTAGCATTTATTTAAGTTGCGTTCCAAACACAGCATTTGTTACCACTTGTCTCTCAGGGTTTCTGTAGAATGTATTCCTTTACGCAATTTTATCCTCTCTCTCCCGCTATGTGTCTTTTCTTCATGTTCATATGTTCTCCCTGCTGGTAGACCATGTCATGTATGGGAGTAACAAAGCAAGAGTAACTCGAGCTTTGGGGATAAATACTGAGACTGCAGGGAAACGCCTCTGTTGCAGTCTTCTTCAAACAGAATGGCCTCTGATTGTAAAGCTATTAAAATGAAATACCTCTGAATGTACCAATGGCTTTCATGTTATTTCTGAGGTTGAAGAAGACAGATGACAGACACCAGACGATATGGAATTAATTCATAAATGTCTGGAATAATATGATTTAAAAACAACATCTGAGTCGCATCTCGTCTTATCTAACCATGCAGATTTATTTTTATTTGCTCAGGTTTTCAAATAGAAAAACATATCCCTGTGTGTGCAAGTATCCCAGCATGCATTTCTATCAACCAAAATAGCTAGATTTAAACCAAAACTATCTGCATGGCCAGATATGATGCAGTTAGGAGATAAAAGTGTGTTTTTTTCTCATTTGAATGACCTTATCTTTAAAGTCTAGAGCTGCAACTAACCATTAATTCGTGAATGTGCGGATTGTTTATAAATCAGTCAATGAGCTGTCGATGAATATATCAGGAAATCTTGAATGCTAGTTATAATAACAGCAGTTCTCAAATGACAGTCCAAAACCAAAAGATAAGCTTTAAATGATAACGTTTGAGATGATGGATTCAGCAAACTTTATAAATGTTTGCTCTAAAATGTACTAAATTAATTAACTGATTCTTAATATAATTGCCTTTTTTTATGATTGACTAATGGATTCATTATCAAAGTGTTGCAGCTCTAATACACTGTTTTTTGAAAAGCAGACTTCATCCTTTAAGATGTTTTTTTATATTTTTCCATTTTTGTCAATTTCTTTGTTTAAAGTGGACCTATCATGCTATATTTGAATAATATATTGTAGGGCCATACCTATATAAAACATGTCTGTGAAGTATTTTTTTCAAAATACCAAACAGATCATGCATTTTAGCCATGCCTCATTTCACTCTATTTGCTCTATTCCAGCCCTGTCTTCACAAGGGCTGATTCTGTGGCAAATGAGCTGCAGCTGACCACGCCCCCCTGCAAAGGAGGGGGGTGAGGCACGAGCGTCATGTTACCATGCTGTTACCATGCCACGGCAACCCCCCATTCCCCTGATAGGTGGAGAGTTGTCCATATAGGCGGAGCTCCTTGTTTCTGACGTCAGAGATATTTCAAATCTGTATCAGATCCGTTTTTAGAGATTTGGGTATGGAGGAAGAGAGAGAGGGTTGTGTTTTCTGACACTTGGTGAGTTCCCTGACACACCGGGGACACATATTCATGTATAAAAGACGTACAAAAGTGCATTTTGCACGATAGGTCCCCTTTAAAATAATCAAACAATGGTCTGCTTTTTATAAATGTATTTTGCAAAGGGATTCTTTTTGAATGTGTGTGTGCAGAGAATGGTCTATTGTTTAGTTTCCTTTGTATAAATCAGTCTTAAAGCCTGTCATACTTTGCATTCTGCTCTCTGCCTTTGTTCAGCCACAGAGCCCTCCAACAGTGTATTGTTAAAGCGGTTCATTTAAACCAGTTAAATTAGATCAAAGATGACAAAGTCCTTCCCATCCAAGGTGCCTTTTTGTGTTTAAAGGTTCTCTTCGCCTCTTTTTATACACACTGTGCTCGTTCAAAGCCTGCTGCTGCGTCAGCGTCAATTCCTGTCTGTGGTGAATCTCTGTTGTCAAAACCATCACTCTGGACATATCTGTGAAAAGGAGGACGATGAGACTGAAGAACCTCTGGACTTAAAGACTGCTGTGGACTTTCTGGAGTCTCTGCAGTTTTTTTTATATAAAAGACAGAGGTCAAAGTGGACATTTTGGAGTCAGGAAAGCTCCCTAACATCCTCCATGGAGGCTTAAATCAGAACTGCTGTGCTGTGTCTCTGCTGTCAGAAAATACTGTCCTTCATGTTTCCTTTGTGTTGAGGATGCCCTGTAATCTGCCTTAAAGGATGATTCCACTTTATTACAACTTGGTCTTATTTTGTTTGTTCATAATTTGTGCCAGAAACATTGTATGTGACATTGTGAGATTGGGAAGTAACAAGATTTTCTGCCAACTTTAGATCAGTTTCAGTAATTTCAGATGACAGATTTCTGTCATTTTTATATTTTTTCTGTGATCTCCTTGCTGGTTTGATGTGGGCAGGGTAAGCTAGAAAAAAGCATTGTTATAATATCAAATTGAGATGATCTATGTAGAGTTAATCAGGGCGATCACAGTCCTGATGCATGAGCTGCATTTTAGAGACTTAATTAGCATAGGTCAAACATCCTTTCACTCTCATTGAATGGAAATTGAGAGCAAAATGTTAGAGATTTAAGACAACAATGCTCAAAGGAAAGTCAAAAGAGGGTGTAACACCGGACTCCAGATGTAAAAACTTGAATTTCTTTCATTTCTGCTCGTATTTGTTCAAGAAATGAAGCAGGGTTTCAGGGGCGCAGCTCTGAATGTATCCACATTCTTGTTCATGGGCCATCCCTTCATAAATACTGAGAGCCTTAAACAGCATCCCATAATGAACAGACCGCTATCCTTCATTTTCACTCTACTTAATCCAAAGTATGAAAGTCTCCTGCCACTTTGGTTATGATCACAGGTTTATTTTCTGCTCAGATTGGTTATGAAAGCCGCTTTTCAAGGGAACATCCACCCTCAAATCCTGAAAGGCTTTTTTGATAAAAGGTGATGTAAAACGCTTTCACGTCACAATGAGGTATTGAGTGACGCTAGTACAGCTGAACTGATGAAAAATCATTTTGAACTGATGAAAACTTCAGGTGAACATGAAAATCAATACCAAAATAATCAATAGAGAAAGCAAACACTTGTATACTGTATATTATAATTCAATCGTGTTTAGATAACAAGTAAACATTTCAATTTCATTTTTTTATGGCTGGACGTTGTGAGAGTAAATCAAAGCAACACAATTAAGATTTTTATTTGCCAAAAATATTGATTTGGAATGACCAAAATCATGACTGATGCAAAGTATTGAATTATTTGATGAAGGCTTTATTGTCTTCAGGGTATATTTTATATATATATATATATATATTATATAAGACATTACATAATGTGAGCAATTTCATCCTACTTCCTTTTTGGATGGTTAAAAAAAAAAGATTGAAACTGCTGTTGTTTCCGAAAGCGTGATCTTTACCTAACTCGGTTGTTTTTGAGCAGTTACCTAATCAATCATAACCATAGATGTGTACAATTAGAAATCAGTGTTTTCTTAAAGTTTCTGGAGGTGCTCACACAGGATGTTATCTACAGCAGCATCCATTGGGAAAAGTATATATTTTCTGTGGTGAAATACATTTTCTCAATCAATTTAGATGTTTTTGTAGTGTCAGTGCACTTAAACATCAGCAAAGATATAAGTCCAAGTTATTAAAGGTGCTTAAATGTGTTTATTTTCTGATATTAAGGACCCAAAAATCATCACCCCGAGAATGTCTGGACAGTTTGGATTGATATCCTGTTGGGGGACGCTTGATTAATACAGGCCCAGGTGACAGAAATCCCTCATGATTCATTCGTTTATTAGCCTCGGTGACGTCCATACACTTCACTGCAAAAGGAATGATCTCTGCCAAACAGCACAACTAGTTTTAATAGAAACATATTTTCCTTTGGAGATATTCACTGTGGATTATTATAGCAGCAGTGGATTTGTAGTTGGGACACAGAGTTCTGCCGGGTTTAATTTCTCCATTTAATCAAGGACACGGTACATGTAATTGGCTAATTTAACAGAAAGCCAGCATGACTTGGGGTCCACAAGAAAGTAGGAAAGGAGTCTCATCTGTGGTTTTTTAGCCGCTACCTTTGTTGTATTTAATTCCTTTCCTTGTTTTTCTCCCTTTTCTGTTTTTGTCTGTTTAAAGCCATTTTTTGCATTCCCCATGTTCCTGATCTTTCCATCAACAGAGTCTACAGTATTTCTGCTTGACATATTTTTTCTAAATCTTTTCTAAACAACCAAAATGTCACGGTTAATGTCACTGCGACAAATTTAGAGCCCAAAAAATTAAAAGATGCAGTACATGTTCACTTTGGAATGTTGTGGAAGCATTACTAATTCTAAAGCTATCTCAATATAACATGGATAAACAGAACTGGTATAAATGGAGAGAAAGAATAACCCTGGATTCAGCTTTTAAGATTGTACAACTCTATCTACTGTATAAAACAATTTGTTCTGGGTAGTTGATTTAGTTTTGTTTAAATTGATATCATCTATAACTAGAGAATGCAATTCCTGAAGAAATTGCTAGTGGGAATGCTTTATGCTGAAAAGCTGATGCTAAACTGCTATGCTGAAATGTAATGTGTAAGAAGAAAGTGAAGAATTTAGATTGAAATGATACATGAACACTGGGGGCTTGAATGTGTGATAAGAGAAGAAAATAAAGTAAAAAGGCTTGGAAAAGCAGCAGAATATTTAAAAAGCAAACTTTTGAACTAACTTGATGGCGAGTGATCTGTCGCCATGGCAACAACATTTGATGAAACGCCATAATACGCTTAGATGTGTTGATGGCTGCATCGTTACCAAACCTGTGAAGTTGTGGGACGTTTGGAGCATTTTCACTGAAGTTATGAGAAAACCTTGTTTCATGGTGAGCTTTGTGTTGCTATGGCAACGGGATTTGAAGAAATCTAAAAACTGTCTCGTAGATGTCTTCACGGCTGGACTGTTAGCACACGTGAAGTTTGAGCAACAGCTTTTGAGGAAAACTCACTATTGGCACATAGACATGTTGAGGGCTGGACCATTAACCATTATCTGAAGTCTGGTGGTGTTTCGACCATTTGCATAGGAGTTACGACAACATCGTGTTTTTTGGCGAGGGATGCATTTCCAAGGAAACGGCGTATGATGACAACCCATCATTGACATATAGCCATTGAGGGCCGGACCATTAACCATTATCTGAAGTCTGCTGCTGTTTTGACCATTTGCATAGGAATTACGACAACATCGTGTTTTTTGGCGAGGGATGCATTTCCAAGGAAACGGCGTATGATGACAACCCATCATTGACATATAGCCATTGAGGGCCGGACCATTAACCATTATCTGAAGTCTGCTGCTGTTTTGACCATTTGC